CTTTGAACATATTCTTCAATTGATACAGGAAGAGGTAAAAGTGTGGCAACTACAAAATAGCAAATCAATAAATGCTCTAGCATATCTTGTACTTATACAATTTTACGTATATTAAAACATCCCCCATTGTGTTCATTCATAAATCTAGCTATCTCTAGTCAAGTGTAACCCATTTCCCAGAAAATGCATATATTGTTGGTCTGTAAATTTTATGAATAAAAGTAGCTGAAGGTAACATGTTTCTGGCTTCTCTACCATATCCTACTGTGTGTGTGTGTGTGTGTGTGTGTGTGTTTGTTTGTTTGTTTGTTTGTTCTTAGTGACACTATCATTCTGAGTTAGAGTCTACTGGTGTGTAAGATATTTTGAAATCAGGTAGTTCCAGTTTTGTTCTTTTGGCAAGAAGATTACAGTGGTGGCTAGTTTTGGTTGTCAACTTTACTACATCTGGAATCATCTAAAATCTAAGCAGCTAGTCACATCTATGAGAGATTTTCTTCACTGGATCATTTGAGCTAGAAAGTCCCACACAAATATGGATCATACCTTCTGGTGGATGCCCACATAAAAAAAGAACATGGAAATATCCATTGGGTCTGGACTCCACCAGGACATGTTTTGATTGCTTCTAGTTTTCTGTAGTGCTCTCCTGTTGCAAAGAGAAGTTTCTTTGACAAAGGATAAGGGTTACACTTATCTGTATAAGGACAGATATTAATAGATTATTGTTATAAATTATGCTGGCTTAGTATAGTAGTTAGTTGCAGGTCCTTATCCAATAACTATGACTTCATTAGTACTGACTAGTTAGCTATGTTTCCAGTATCAGGCATGTTGAGAACTTCTTAAGTCCAATTAGAGAGCTGTAAGTAACAACCAATATATGTGTTGATATTGCACCCATAGTGTTATTGTGCCATATTAGTCACTGATGTGTTTAATAGTCATCATAGCTGGGTAGGACTGATGGTTGTCTTCCCACTTTGGAAACTTTCATGGAGCTATCTGGTACCATGAAAGCTAGTCCCCAGGAAGGGAGCATTCACATCAGTTCCATCACAAAGGTCTCTGGGTCCTGTTTCTGAAGTGCATGGTATCTTCAACAATACAGACTTACCTTCCACCTCTGGGGGCTAAACAGGGGCAACAGCAATAGTTTGCACATTCTGGAAGTCTGTTAAACAGCCCTGAATAACAACTCAAAAGAGGACTTCTCATGTCTGGTGTTGGGGTTTTGTTAGATGGATTGTATCCTCTTGGAGGGAGCACTATCAGCACAGATAACACAAACTATATGTACATTAATACAATGAAGTATGTGAATTATAGGTATTTTTTAGATAAATGGTTAATAGTATAATTCCTTCTGGAATTTTCAGACATCCTTATCGTTATTTTACCCACCTCCTCCCTTCTCCAATATATCATCTGCAGATAAATACAGAACAGTCCTATGACTCAGGGAACATTACTGAAAAGGGTTTGGAAAGACTATAAGAGCCAGAGAATGAGGGAATTTGCTGTGAGATTGTGTCTCCTAGTAAGATCAGAAGCTATACCCATGAAGTCTCAGCAACAATACTGCCCAAATGTGGATAGGATAACATCAATGCACTTGCCAAACTAGATGGAGAAAAACCCATGAGGCTTGATACAAATCAACCCTTTTATCAGCTAATCAGTTTTCATTTCACTAAAAATGCTTGCTATTTATATAAATTATGAAATGTCTCAAATATATATTTAGTATATTGATTTAAATACATATTTATGAAAAAGGGAATAGCAAAATATGTCTCAAAACTAGCAACAACTATTTTTAATCTGTGTGTTGTTTATTCATGCACATATGTTCACATGTATGCTCATATATGAGGCCAGAGGTTCATGTTCTGTGTGTTCCTTTTTTGTTTTCCACCAAGCATCTCTCAGTGACCCTGTAGCTCACTGATTCGGCCAGACTAACTGTCCAGCAAGTCTCAGACTTAGTCCTGTTGCTTTGTCTACATTGTAATAGTTGGACCCTTCTACTTCGCCTCCTCAGCAAACTCTGAAAACACGGACTTGTCAAAAACATAATTAAGTAAATTTCAACACTCATTTCTACCAAATTAACAGACTCACTCATTGCAGCAGTGCACGTGCTACTGGTATTGGTGTCTGGTTGAGAATGCAGGCTTCTAGTGCACTTTATTCTCAAGGGAAATACCTGACATAGAAGATTAGGTAATGGCAGATGTCTAGTGCTAGTATAGAGGTATTGGAGTTAAATGTTCTTGTTTATACATAGTATAAATAAATTCAGATTTATATGAATTATGTGTTGTTCTTGTTTGTTACTTGCATGTCACTAAGGTACTTTTCTGCTCAAACTTCTGTGAATAAGCTAAACGAAACACACATTTATGTCATGTGAAAGGACACCATTTATGTTTTGTCCAGTTTTTCTTTTTTATCAATAAACAAATGAAGACCTGAAATGTTTAATGCAAAAAACAGAAGCCAAAGCAAGTTTCATAAGTATGATGCTACACCTTTGATTTTTATGCTAACTGGAAAAATTCAATCCCACATACTTTTCTATGGACTGTACAGCTACATACATATTTGTTGGAACAAATGTAATTAGTGATGTGTTCATATTAGATAAATAATATTATTATGTTATTTTAAAATATCTTACAAAATGGCATTTCTTTATGCCATTTTCATACACACTTACTTTTGGCTGACTATCCTCCCATCCTTTCATCTCCCCTATTGCCCTATCCCCCTACCCTGTCTAAATAGAACATACTCTTCATTCTATTTCACATCGCATATGTTTTGTTACTGTGCCCCCTTCTTTTTTCATTAATTCATCATTTAAATTAAAAAACAATCTTATTTTACATACCAATCCCAGTTCCCTCTCCCTCCCATTCTCCCCACTAGCCCCCCCCATCCATTCCTCAGGGAGGGTGAGTCCTTCCATGGGGGATCATCAAAGTCTGTCAAGTCACTTGGGGCAGGGCCTAGGCTGAGAAAGGCATACCTCCATGGGGAATGGGCTCCCAAAGTCCATTCTTGAACTGGTGATAAATACTGGTTCTACTGCCAGCAGCCCCATAGACTACCCCAGGCCCCCAAGTGACACCCACATTCATGGAGCCTGGTTTAGTCTTATGCTGGTTCCCCAGCTGTTGGTCTGGAGTCTGTGAGCTCCCACTTGCTCAGGTCAGCTGTTTCTCTGGTTTTCCCCAGCCTGGTTTTGACCCCTTTGCTCATCACTCTTCCCTCTACAACTGGATTCCAGGAGTTTGGCTCAGTGCTTAGCTATGAATCTCTGCTTCTGCTTGCATGAACTGGGAACTCACCCCCACCTTCTTTAAAGCCTCTGTTTACTCATTTCATGGGTCCCTTTCTGGTCACTTGGCAACCACATACACTCATTTTCCCCAAAATATGCACACGTAAAACTTAGAAGCTAAGATTTCCCTTGGGCATATACCCAAAGGACTTTATATCCTCATTTAGCCACAAGAAAACATACAGTATATGAGCCTGTGATGCCTCACTAATATATTTTAATTCCACCCATTTCCCAGAAAAACTCATCTTTTTTATGGCTGAGTAAGTGACATTGTACATATGCACCACATTTTCATGATGGATATCTAGGCTGATACCATTTCCTGCTATTGTGAAAATAGCAGCAATAAACATGGATGTGCAAGTGAACCTGTGGTAGGATATAAAGCCCCTTGGGTACATGCCCAATAAGGGCATAGGTGGGTCAGAGAGCCGTTAAATTTTCATGTTTTGAGAAGCCTCCAGACTGATTTCCATAGTGTTTGCATTAGTGTGTACTATTATGGAAACAATAAAAATGTGTCATCACTAACGGTGAAATTATAGTGTTTGTCCTTGCTTAAACTATGGTATTCTCCCTTCTACTTTCATATAACCCTTCCCAACCCTCTCTTTCCCTTAGAGCTGCCTTGTAACTGCTATCTTGGAGATTATTAATCTTCCCACAGGAGAAAAAAATCAAGACATATATTTAATCATGTACTTTTATATGTATAATGTCTAACTTAGTTTGGATATATTTGGACTTTCGAATACTTCTATTATAATGAAAACAAACACAAAGAAAGTGAAAGGAAATATAATTTCTATAGCAGTTTTTCAAACAACTTGAGCACTTTACATTTGTGTAATATCAGAAGCATCAAGACAGAAGGTTTCAGGGTTACATAAACACAGCGTAAACTATAAACGAAATTATACTACAATGTAATCTCAGGCATAAGAGGTGGAATAAACTTAGGGAATCAGAATACCCAAGATCAAAATTCAACTCCATTTCTTGCTGGCTGTTTAAGCATGGGTTCATCATGTTTCACATTCTTCATCTGCAAAGAGCCTATGTTTGTATTATATACATCACTAGATCATTGTCAATAGAAATCAATAACATATTAGACAGTCTGTAAATGGAAAACCAAACTATGAGTATTACTATTACCCCAAAATTATTAAAATGGGAACTTTCTGAGAACTGAACATAATTAGCACCTAGTGGTGGTAAGTATACACAACAAACCAAGCTTCATTCATTGGGAATTCATGCAAACATTGTCAATTTTCAATGACAACATAAAACATTATTTTAAAAAAGATGTACAGCATGAACATGTTTGTAGGGAAAACCTGGAAAGACCCATATTTCTTAGACAAATAGTGATTAAATGTGTGACAATGACTTACAGATAAAAGATGTATTCACTCCAGAAAAAGTTGTTAGTCACCTTATTTCCACCACTTATAACAACTAACAAATAATCACATTAGCTCTTTTTCAGGACTCAAGCGTGCTTTACAAAGAGATGAACATGCTTTTAATGTGCCTTTAAATGTGAACATGCACAAAGGCCACACACAAAGTAACAGGTTATTATAACACGAGTTCCTTCAGATTTTGGACACTTTGAAACTGTGATTCCGTAAGTGCACAGATGTCCCTTATTCAGACGCAGAGAGAGTTCTTCAAAAAGTCGTGGCTATTTCATACGAATCTGGAAACGGGACAGACACGCGTCCGGATCCAGTCACAAGAGGCAGAATGCCTGCAATCGGTATGACTTGCCAGGACAGAGTCAAAGTGACATTCCTGTTTCCCTTGAGACCGTGTCCGTCGTCAAAGAAAAAGTACTTGCTTTTGACATCTTTCAGATCCAGCTTGGGGTTCTCGCCTCGCAGAAGGATCTTGTCCCAGAGGACCACCTGGTTCACAGCGTTGCTTTTGGTGGAGTATTCTGCCGAGAGGTAAAGGAAGAGCTGCTTGACGTTCCAGTCGAAAGTCTTCTCCAAGTCGGCAGAGATGTGGAACGTGATGAAGCCCAGGTCGCTTTTCTTCCGGGGTCCGGTGAAGTCTTCCACTTTTTGAGCAGGATCCTGGAGACGTGCAGGCGCACTGGCGCGCTTCTGTCTTTGAAGGCGGTGGTGAGGATGCAGCCCAAGGTGAGCGCCGCCATGACGCTCAGCGTGAAGGCGAACAGCGAGTTGGCCCGCGACAGCAGGGTGTTCATCTTGCAGGATCAATCAGCGGCTCCCTCCACGCGGGCTCCACCGGCGCTCGTTCGCTCGTTCCCTCGCTCGCTCGCTCGCTCGCTCGGGCTCGCTCCCTCGCTGGGCAAGGCGTGCAGCCTGCTCGCGTTCCCTCTGCCTTCTGGCTCGCGCGGAATGCTGGGCGCGCGCGCACACGTCGCTGGAGCGCGCACCGCCCACCATGCCTTTCCCCCCCCGCCCCCAAGTAACTGGTTAACCCCACAACCACTGTCTGCTGCTAGTCTAAGGCGCTTGGAGCATCTGATGGAAAACAGCAGCACCTTGTTGTCCCTGAGTGGCTCAATAAGCCCGGGTGCGGGGGGCGAGGGGAGAGCTGGGGGCTTGAGCTACCTCATCCCCCTACACACACACACACACACACACACACACACACACACACACACACACACACTCACACACTCACGAGGGGAGAGCTGGGGGCTTGAGCTACCTCATCCCCCTATGCACGCGCGCGCGCGCGCGCACACACACACACACACACACACACACTCAGTGAAGGTCTGTCCCATCTGCTGCCCAAAGTCCTGTTCAGGGAACCCCCTCCTCTTTCAATGCACCCTGCTACATCATGGCTTCCATACATCCTAGTCCCTCCCCTGGCCTTCTGCAACAGGCTCCTGATGGCTGTGCTCACCTGCCTCCCCCTAGCCCATCCTGCCTCTCCCCAGTCCATTCTCTGCACAGAGACCAGCCATCACCTACAGGTCATGTCACTCCTCTACTAGGATCCTCCACACTCAAAGGACAGTCACAGTGTCAAAGGTGCAGCCCAGACTCTGTGAGCCATCTGCCCTTCCCACCTCTCCCCCATCAGCCTGTGTTGTCTGCCAGGCTCCAACCACTGGGCTTGTCCTCTGCTCCTGGGTCAACTGGAGCACACACAGTGTCAACACACCAAGACATGGCCTGTCTATGCCTGGCTTCTTATCATTCAGGACTGGGTTCTAAAGCCACTCCAGGAAAGGCCTCCATTTTTGCATGTAACCCCCTGTTCAAAAGGGAGAGGGAACTGGGATTGGTATGTAAAATAAGATTGTTTTTAATTTAAATAAAAATTAATTTTGAAAAAGATGTTTTCTGGGTCAGTCCTATGCTGGTTTCCCAGATATCAGTCTAGGGGTCCATGAGCTCCCCCTTGTTCAGGTCAGCTGTTTCTGTGGGGTTTTGTAGCCTGGTCTTGACCCCTTTGCTCATCACTCCTCCCTCTCTGCAACTGGATTCCAAGACTTTGGCTCAGTGTTTAGCTGTGGGTGTCTGCTTCTGCTTTCATCAGCTACTGGATGAAGGCTCTTGGATGGCATATATGTACAAGATTGTTTCAAATTTAAATTTAAAAAGAGAGGAAAAAAGATGTTTTCTGTTTATTTTCCTCAAGCACAAATCTCCACATAAGTTGCCTGGTTAATTGTTTCCTTATACAGTTTTGCCAGTCTACTACGGTGACAGACCCAGGGCCCCTCCTGTCTTGTTCTTTGTGTTGCTTTCCCTGTACCTCCGCCAGTGTTATGCATATGAATTACTGGATGATTATTAATAGTGTGAAGGAATTACTAACACTTAAGATAAGAAGGAAATTTTACAACTGTGAACAATGAAACAATATACCAAGTGCTTTTAGATACTGAGCCATCTCGTTGCAAACAGGCATCAGTGCTTTTCAAAACTCAATGAAAATGAGACTCAGGTGAAAACTACCCACCCTAATTCCATGGATTTGCTCAGAAGGCTTGGAGTAGATCCAGATATCTTCAAGTGTAATAAGCACCAAGAAAAGTGTCCAAACTTGGTCAAAAGAATGATGCAAGTGAACACTGCCTTGGGGACTGAGAGTGAGACTCCAGGAAGAAAGGCAGAGGGCCTTTTATCTCAGGTGCATTTTGTTCCCTGAATTGTTCTTGCATGTGATTTCATGCCTCCTGTGACAAACATTTGCATTCAATTTATAAGATATGTTTATTCTTGTTGGATGTCAGAACACATCTGCAGAACCCAATCTGGTCAGTGTACCCTGAGTCTGGACATGACCTTCTGACCTGCTTTTGTGCCTTTCCAGATATAATCTACAGTATGTGCCAAGCAATTGTGTTTCAATTGGTCTGTTCTGAGAAGTTCTGACAAAGGGCTGCTCTGTTAGTATGTACTATGTGCTTACTGACCTTTATTTACATGTTCTTCTGAAATTGAACACCTTTCCTGGGATCATTGCTTTTCTTTTTGTTACATTCATGTACAAAAGCACACTGAAACTGAAGTAAGGTTGTCCACAGAATTAGACTGTGGCCTTCCCCATTCTTTCAGGTCCTCGGATCCCAGGGCCAGCAGACACAGATCTGCATAGATCAGTAAAAAGTCGACCAGAAGATTTTAGTGAAAGTTTCCACCCGGGGAAAAATCATGACTTCATTTATCAACCTTTTAATCCAACTAATTTAATGATACCATGCAGAGTTTTGTGACAACTGGAAGATCTTTACTAATGTAATTGATCCAAGTGCCCCAGTCACTTAATCCACCTGAGAACACAGGGTACTTCACCACCTTAGATCACTAAAGTCTAGAGAGTAGTCCCGTTCATTAGAAGGATTAGTATGCTGATCCTTTTCCTTAGATGAGGCTGGTTCTGGGTACTTGCTTACCCAATACCCTAAAGATGGAACTTTGACATCTTCACTCTTACTCCTTTAAAATATCTCACAGGGTTGACACTTCACTGGCTTCTTCTGTATGAGCTTCTGGTAGCAGAATCTTCACTCTTGCCTGTCCTAAACAGCACATGTTTATGTACTGTTGATTGAATGAGTTTTAAGAGTTCTGAAGCATTTGCTGATACGGTTACTCTAAAGAACTCCCTGGTCCTTCCCTCCACCTGAGACTGGCAGGGTGCTTTCCCATGTAAGATCACAACTCCAAACTATTCCTTGTTTTTGGATATATTTGGAATTGTTACTTGTTCGTGTGGAAGAGTCTGGTGGAAGGGTAGTGTCTTACTGAAAGTATCCCCATAATGGAGACCCAATCGCGCTGGGAACCTTTCCAGTTAACTCTCTATAATGTTTCTTCACTCTGAGTCTCTGATTCTGCAGGGCAAATTAAGCACTCCGGTCTGATGTTATAGTAGAAGACAGGGGAGGAGGAAAGATAACAAGTGTAACAGAGATGAAACTGTGCAGATAGGGAAGGCAGACTCAATTCCTCTTCCCAGCTTCATCCTGCAACTCCTGCTACACATTGAACAGTGGGACACCCAAGAGATATGTGCGCTTATCCCTGCTACTATGTTGTCAGTCCATGGTATTGATGTCAGAGGTATTGCCTTGACTGAATAAAAAAGGCAAAGTTCAGGGAAGTCCCATATGCTGAGGCTAGACTAGATACCATACACTGCATGTTGCTATTTTTAGACAGTTTTTTAAAAAAACCTATTCCCTGTCTACAAATGAGATAGTTTTAGACAGCAACGTAAATGCTCAAGGAATTCTGTGAATGAAGGTATCAACTTAAAATTGATGCCATCTTGTAGGGGAATTTATTGACCAAATTGTGGAAAATGTTAGCATATATATTATATATGTATGTATTAATAAAAAGGGATTAACTTCTAAGAAAAATGTGACTCAAGGGCATTTTGTAAATGAATAAATGGGCAGGAAATATCTCTACCACATATCAAATGTCAAACAATAATTTTAGAAGAAAATCACAATTAGAATAACAACACATGATGTCATCATAGTGATAAGTGATTCAGGCAAAAATCATAAGTGGAAACATAGCTGGCACCAATTTTCACAGAAGGCACTGAGTTGTCATGGTAATCTCATTGCCCAAGGAGAGCTGGAAGAACAACTGTGACACTAACCTTATTTCTAATATGTGTTAGGATCTGGGTAAGAACGGCATGACTGGTTTAATTAATTTCAAGTATTTCTCATGATAAACATTCCTATAAAATAAATATCTATACATTCATATGATCACACATTCCCACATACATATATCTTCCCTTCTGTCTTACCATCCAAGATTCTGGGAATGTATTATGGTGAATTTATTGGAAGGTGAAGAATTGAAAATCATACTTTTGAACAGATTCATTTTGAGCCATATTTATGGATTAAATAATATTGAACTATGTTCTCTCAAAAACTTATTTTTATAGATTGTCAACAGATAAAATTGATACCTTGATCCCTAGTTTCTGCATATTTTCAAAGACTTCATAAAACACATGTGGATATGCAGGAGAATGGGCATTAATCAAGAAATACTTTTTACAAGCTAGAACTGTGCTTCAAACCATTTTCTTCCCAACAAATACCATTATATATTTGGTCACTGAAAATTTGGGGGGAATATATGATAACCTGTTTTTGTATTTTTAAAATACTGTCATTTAAAATCATCAGAAAATATGAAGTATCTGTGTGGATATTTTATCTGCAAGTAGTTATGTATGTATATTAAATACTACAAGATGTTGCTATAATAATTAAAAAAGATCCAGACAATTGGAAGGCACACCTTGATCATGGGTCAGAATACTTGGGTTATTTATATGTTAATTTTCCCCAATCTAATCTAAAGACTCACTGCAATTCCGATGATATTATTAGTCTCCGTTCTTGATATGCTCGTCCATTTAAAGATGCTTCAATCATGAGCCAATTCCTGCCCCTCTCTATATTATGCCTTCTGTGTCATGTCATGGCAATTTCTTACCTGAAATACACCTGTTAGTGTATTTGCAAGGATAGCAAGGAGTTGCTCAGCCCAAGCACTGTTCCTTCAAAATTCTTGCAGTCTGCTATGAGCAAGTGTGTGTTCTGTTCTGCATATCAAGGATGGGTCTTACAGTAAGTAGGCTCTCTGCTTTCTTTCCCCATTCCTTGTCAGCAACAAGGCAGATTCCACGCTATATACATGCATACATACATGTTCAGTTCACCTTTTCTCCCTATGATCTTCCTCTACATTGATTTTATCATTACATGATCTCAAAATATAATTTCACATTTG